CATATATAAAATTTTAATTACTGAGGAGTCATCTTATATTCAGGGTTATCTTCTAATCAAGTAAATACAGTAACTGCATTAACAGGTGGCCAAGTAACTACTTATGATGTGATTAACCGGTTAATCATGTCTTAAGTGTAATGTGTACCAAGGGCCTTAAGATACTTTCTCTTATTCCCTACATTGTTTTGAAGACCAACAATCTGAAGGATATATTTTATCCCTCGTTAATACTGTCTCTTCCTAAGATTTCAGCACGAGCTTCAAAACGTAAATTGAGAGAGGCTTCCTTCAAGTCCAAAATGAAATATCAGTTATAAAGGAGAGATCATTGTGCATTTTATCTGCATGTATACAGAAAACTATTTTCCTTTCCTTTCTAGTTTAAGCGTTTAGTTGGTCTTCCTGGGTCACATCTGCAGAGAACACTTCATATGTGTTTATATATTGACCAAAGTAAACAAATCCTTAATGACATTCCTCTAAACCTGCAGCAGAATCAAATATACAAGGAACTAAACTTAATATCATAAACAGTACTACAAAACATACAGTCACATTAACTGAAAGCTTAAAAACACTCAGAGTCTGGCCACTGATTTTAATAGCAGCAATTATCAATAGTTTAGGAAACACTCAATGTTTGACTTCTGCAAGTTTACTTTTTCAAAGCTAACATTGCACCAAAGTGTTTTATTTTTGTTTTGATTTCATTGACATTAAAAAGTTTGCCTTTTGTAAATGTTTAGAAATTGATTAAACTACTGCTGTACAATGGGTGCCAGCCAAAAATTTAGAAAAAAAACTCTATAGATAATATTTGATGCACATGCTTAAGTGCCAGAAGTCTTGATGCAAATAACTTTAAATTAATGTTATACGTAGCTTATATTACTTCTGCAATAAATGTTTCTTTCTTAGAGTATAACCATATTTTGCATTTTCATAATAGCTTCCACACAAAAATGGGCCCATACTCAAAGGAAAGTTTACTATATAAGCCAGGGGCAGATGCTACATAAGTGTTACTGCCAACATTTTGATGGAGTAGAAGTCAGCTCATTTAGATCTGGGTGATTTGCAACCCATCTCATTCACAGTTGGGTGCTGAATTATGGAGCAGCCACTCAACTGTTTGCTGCAGTTTTTACTTCAAAGTGTGCCACTTCTCCACTCATATGGAGCTCATCAATGGTCCCATGCAGCTGGTCTGAGAAGAGGAACCCTATGAAATAAAATCCCTATCATATATAGCTGAATCACCTCAAGGGTCCTGTGTCACTATGTGCTACAGCTCTCTAATTTATCAAGCAATTCACAACCTTTATTTTCAAGTGCAATAGGGGGCAATACGGTAAGGAACTTAACCCTACAGAATATCTGGGTTCTACTGTATAATTCACTTAACCTAGAGAGTTTCTGTAGGAAAGTCACTGCAAAGTAAGGCAATATGGGAATTTCCAATGCACTATTCTGCATAAATCCCCTGCCTGGATGCTCTCAACATGCAGCATACTGGTAGTTTACTAGACTTTGAAAATAGGATTGGAGGTGTAGCCTTATCTTTGGAAAACAACTAAGGTTGCAGGGAAAGGTTTCAGCAGCTAGCTGAGGAAACTACAGATATCAAGTATCCTTACATTATGAAAAGTCACGTGAGTCCTAATAAAACACAAATTGTGCTCTACAATGAGGGAAGCTATTCAGCACAGACTTAAGGGAGAAAGCATCAGACAATCTGGCGTGCAGGGCTGCCAAAAGAAGCTGGAGGCTGCTGGCCAAACTACACTACAAAAAGGCAGCATGGAAGTGAAAGAGAGAGAACAAGAGCAAGCAGAAAGAGGACCAGGTTAGGAAGTGACCACACAGAGATCCAGAAATGGGTCAACTAACTCCACTTCCTTACTGATTTACTAGGAGAATGTGGAAAGCACTGAACCCTTAGACCAGGGTGGACAAAATACAGCATGTGAGATGATTCTATCCAGCCCGTGGTGCCCTTAAAAAATTTAGAAAATGAATATTGATCTGTCCTTGGTTCCTGTCAAAAATGACAGAAACAAGCATCTTAGGACCCAAGGGAAGCCCGGCCCTGTCCCTCACAGCCGGAAGCACCAGCAGGGCTTCTGGCCTGGGACCATGCCGGAATCAGGTGGGAAGTGGGGGGGGGGGG